CCTGACTGAAACATGGCAGATGTCCCCTCCTCTTTGGGGTCAGCTCTTTACCCCCAGCTGCCACGGTGCCTCCAAGACTTTCCTGGATGGACATGGGTGAGGATGAGGAGGGGAGAGGTTGTTGGGGGGGCCGCCTAGCTAGAGTGTGGGAGCCTCAGGTGAGGGGGACAAGCGGAGCCGTGTGTAGGGCGGGAGAGGAAGTGTGGGGCTGCTCTCAAAACCAGGAGCCACAGGGGAAGGCTGCTCGGGGGCTGTGAGTGTGGGAGGCTGCGTCAGTGGGCGAAGTGGGTGAGAATATGTCTGCCCACCCATAAACAAACGTGGCTATGTTCAAAGGGGCCCCACACGCGGGCGGGTATGTTGGGGCTGGGTCGGGGTGGGGGGTCTGTGTATGTGAGGACTGCTTCCCCACACACATGGGGGCGGAAGACATGCTGTGTGAACTGAGAAGGTGAGGGTCTAGCAGTAGGGACGTGTGTGTGCCTAGGCGCGACAGAGGGCATAGGAGGGCCTGCAGATAAATGGGGGCAGCTGATCAGGGAGGATGTGGGGGAAAAACCAGGAGAGGCTGGGTGTGGGGAGAGACCACCGTCCTAAAGCGTCAGGGCCCGTGGAGCCCTAGCGCTGGTGAGCGCGTGTCTCTGTCCCCTTCCTGCTGTGCACTCCAGAGGGTTCCAAGTAGAACTGAGAGATGTCCACGGACCAGGGGGCAAGACCTGGGGAGAAGGATGGCCCTGGTCTAGGGTAATCAGACCCTTCCGCACGCAGAGCCTTCAATGCCTTTGCAGAGTACATGCGCAGCAAGCCCAGCAGGGAGGTGAGTGTGGCGCCTGCAGGTGCCGGCGAGTAAGGTTTTCTCGGCAGAAGGTCGTGGGAGGAAGTGGAGGATGGACGGGATGGCACATTTCAGAAGAGAGGCCACATATTCACCCTCTAGGTGACTTCACTGCTGTGGGGCAGACACCTGCCCCGCGCAACTCCTCCAGCCTTCGGAAAATTCATGCATGCACAGAGGTCTGGTACAGGCAGGTGTTCTGGAGAGGGAGCGAGGAAAGGGGCTGAGTTCTGGGTTTGGGTCAATCTGGAGTGGAGATAAAGGAAGAGCCGTGAAACCAGCACTGCCCAGTAAAAATAGTATGTGAGCCACAGATGTAATTTTTCATTTCAGCAATATTAAGGCAATAAAAAGAAACGGATGAAGTTAATTTTAATAACATGTTTTATTTGACCCAATATACCTCAGAACATCACTTCGCTGGCCACCAGACCAGCACCAGGAAGCACGGGAACTTCAGCCTCCTCCCCAGACTTAGAAGGAGAGCGTGAGCCTTCACAGGGCATAGAACGTAAACGGAGCTCATTTAAGCTGGACCTCAGGGGGCAGGGGGACCCCATGGGCCTCTGGTTTGGCCTTGCTCACGCAAGGGTTCATGGGTAATAATGTCTCCTTTCTTGGGAGCTGCCAGATGCTGGGCACTCGTCTGGGGCTCACAAATCCTCCCAACAGCCCCCAGGCAGTTATGATTAATGTCTGATGAGTAAAGGAACTGTCAGAGCTGCGATTCGAGTGCTGCTCGCTCAGCCCAAATCCCAACAAACCCACCCTGTAAATGGTGTGTGTGTGTGTGTGTGTGTGTGTGTGTGTGTGTGTGTGTGAAGAATCGGGGAGACACAGGCCCTGTGGGGACTGAAGCCAGCTGTAGGTAGGGTCCTGTGTTCCCCTCGGGCAGACATCCTCCTCCCGGACTGAGAGCTCCTGAGGGAAGGTGGAGAGTCAGGCCACGGTGGGGCCCTGTTTAGGGTGAAGGTGGAGGCCCCTGGGTCTCGGGGCGGTGCTGGCCGTGGGACTGGAGGAGCCGAGGGTGGGGCAGGGCATGAGGCCGCATCTCAGGGTGGAGGGGACTGGGGGGCCACAGGGGCTGGTTTCCCGTGGCTGTGGAGGGTTGGGCGTGACTGCCGTGGGAGCTCGCCCCCCAGCGAGGAGAGACGTGCTGAGTCCGGCTGTGCCTTTCCCATGTGCTGCCAGGGCGCTTGGGTGTGCGCGTGTGTGTGCCCAGGCTCGGTGTCCTCCGCAGTCACGCCATCCTCCCAGCTACTTGTCTGGGCCACTTCCTCCCAGGCCAGCAGCCAGGCTCCCGTGTGCTCCTCGGAGCCAAGATCTGAAGGCAAAGCCGTGCCCCAGAGGGAAGCAAGGGGCTGGCCGGGAACGCTCCCAGCCCTGGCTGCCCCGGGCAGGAGCGCAGAGACCCGGAGAGGGCAGCCCCCTCCTCAAGGGGACAGGGATGGAGGAGGGGCACCCTGGAGAGCAGGCTGGAGGCTCAGAGCCTCCAGCCAAGGCAGACTCTGCACAAGTCCAGATTTCGGCCAGATGAGGGGCCTCGAGGCAAAGGAGGAAATGAAGAGACAGAGACACTGTCTTGTCAGAGGACTCGTGTGGGTGGGGGGTGGCCACCCCTACAGGCACTCGGTCAAAAACATCTACTGAGCACCTCCCCTGGGCCAGCACTGAGCCTCTGCCCGCCTCCGGAGATGCTTATGGGATAACTAACTAACTAACTAACAGGATGGGAAGCCCAGCAGGCAGGGCAACCCCAACATCATGGCAGACGCACTAGCAATGGCCTTGCCCACCCCTTTTGCTCAGAGAGGAAGAGCAACTTCCTTAAGCTTCCTGAGCACACCCAGACCCGAGCATTAGAGCCACCTTCCTGAGCACCTACTGTGCTCAGTCGCTGCCCCCATCTGCAGAGGGCCCCCGGAAACCTGCCCTCCTGGAGCTTCTATCTAGGGTGGGAAGCCAGCCTGGAACAGGGCATGGGGGTGGGTGCAGGGTGCCCTGGAAGCAGGGGGCCGGAGGGGGCTCTCTGAGGACCTGCCACTTGGACAAAGACCAAAACTACGGCAGTTGGGGGGGGTGGATGGGGGAGGGGGTTGGGGGATCCTGGCAGAGGGAAGGGCAGGGGCAAAGGCCCTAAGGCAGGAGCGGGTTATGAGGCGATATGGCTGCAGTGGCCATGTGAAGAGTAGGAAGAAGTTCAGAGGGCTGGGCATGGCCAGCACGCCCAGTCAAGAGCATGGATCTTACTCTCTGTGACCAGAAGGCATTGGAGGGTCAAAAGCAGGGGGTGTGATGCCCGATCTTTCTTCTGAAAGGATGGGCCCCGGCTCCTGCTGGAGCTGAGACTGGAGGGGCAGAAGGGACAGGGCGCCACGGGGAGGCTGCTGTAGGGGCCTAGGAGCCAGATCCTGGTGCTGCACCGGGAAGGTCAGAGTGGAGGCCGTGAGGAGTGGATGGATTCAGGCCATACTTGAAGGTGGGGGTTCCAGGGAATGAGAGAAAGGGGAAGGGTCCAAGGGGACACTCGCCAAGCCCTTGCCTGTACATTTCTGAACACGTGGAAGCAGTATTCAGAAACTTAGCCATCCTCAGAGGCCCTTGGCCTAGGAGGCGCCACCATGAGACTGGGGGCTGCCCTCCCCATCAGCCCCAAGCCTGGGCCCCTGTCTCCAGGTAAGGGGGAAAATTCCATGTGCAGCCCCCCATCTCCACCGCCCACCGCCCCCTGGGGGGAGGGAGAGGGATGGTTGAGAGTCAGCCCCAGGACCGTGGGTGGATCCCAGGCCTGGTGGGTCAAACTCCAAAAGCGATTTTGAGGTCACCACGAAGGATGGCTTGTCCTTGTTTGGATTTTCTTGGAGTTGCCACCCAGATCTAGAGGCCTGAAGCCTAGGCCATAAATCCCAGCTCCTCTGCCATCCCTCCTTTATCTGGGTCCCCTCCCGGGCCTGATCTCTGGCTTGGCCTCCCAAGGCAGTGGTCAGGTGTGAGACTGGGTGTGGCTCAGGACGGCAGTGGGCAGGGGCCCAGCTGGTCTGGTGTGGTTGTAGCCACCTGGGAGCAACAAGCGCGGGCCTCTTCCTAGCCTGCTGAGCTCTCCAGGGCCAAGCTGGTGACATTCATCCCAACAAGGGTGTCAGGTCGTGCTGTGTCCCCTGACCTCTGCCCGGCCCCTGGGGAAGCTCACCAGTAAGGGGTCATTGAGCCAAGGCATTCAGGGTTCCCTGTCCCAACCCCTCTCTCCATATACAGACTGGACTCCCGCACAGCATGAGTTACAAAGGGGCTCTTCCTCTAGGGGATCCGGACAGATAAGAGCCCGGACCTCTTGCTTCCAGAACCCTTCAGCCCTCCAGAAGGCAGCATGGAGGTAGACATACCAGGTTCTAATCCAAACTCTGCCACTTGCTTGCTCTGTGACCTTGGGTAAGTTGCTTACTCTCCTTGGGCCTCGGTTTTGTCCTTTGTAAAGTGGGGATGAGGAGCCAGTAATACCTCACTGTCAGGTTCTGTCCGAGGATTAAGACCAGGGCTGCGGATAGCAGGTCCTTCCCTCTTTCTTCCAGAGAAGTTGAGAAAACAGCAAAATGCCAAGAGTCCAAAGGGCAGGCTGGCAGCCCCTGGCTGCCTCCAAGGGCTCCCGGAGGCAGAAAGGGAAACTGAGGCAGCGAGTGCTGGTGGGAGGCTGCTGAGAAGAAGGAGCTGACAGCCACAGGTGAGCAGAGTGGCATCTATTTATTCTGGGGGTCCTGACCCCAGACACCCTCACCTCCCCCACTGCCATCTCTCTGTTTGTTCTCAGCCTGGGGGCCGTCAGGCCAGGGCCCTGGATCCTGAAGAAGGATGTGGCCATGGGCTAGCTGCTCTGCGCGTGGCGGGAGGAGGAGGCCGGGTCTGGGACCGGAACAGCAGAGGGAGTGCGTGAGGGGCTGTGATGCCCAGGTCCTGGTCCTCCTGCCTCCCCAGCCCAGTCCTCTGACCCTGAGTGTTGGGCCCTGGGGGGCATAGCCCCGGCCCTGCCAAGCAACCCCCACAGCTGCCTCAGAGGAGCAGGTGGGGCTGTGTGCCCCTTCCCTTGACCTCCCCCTCCCCAACATCTGCCCCAGCCTCAAGCCAGAAGCCACCTTGTTCCCAGAGATGAGGCTGGCACCGCCCCGCAGGCCCACCTGGCTGTGCCCTCAGTGCTGGTCCAGGATGAGGGGCACCTGGGCGCTGTCCACTTGCGGAGGCAGCCGCTCGCCCGTGCGCACGTTGAACATGGGCAGCGTGGACAGCGGCCGGGGCACCTCCCGGCTGGATGCCATCTGCCGCAGCTCCTCTGTGTTCCCGCGGATGGTGCAATGGTGGACCATCTGGATGCTGGGGGCACAGAGCCGGCAGAGTCGTCAGCTCTGGGAGTCAACCCCCGCCCCCCGCCCAGGCCCAGGGAGGCCTCGCCTCTGAGGCACCCTGCAGTCCTCCCCACTTGCTATGTAGGGAGACACTCACACACATGATGCGTGGGGGGAGGACAAACAGGAAGGTCTTTGGTGCCGGCTCAGTGTCCGGTGACGGAGGCATAGGCCGTGGGTATAGACAGCCTGGATTCAAAGCTGTGTGTCCCTGGCAAGGTACTGAACCACTCTGTGCCTCAGTGTCCTCAACTGTAAAATGGGCATAATACTAGAACCTACCTCCTAGCACGGTGGTGGGAATTAAATGAGAAAAATGTTTAGAAAAGTGCTTGGCGCATGCTAAGAACTCCCGCGATACTCGGCATGAATAGATACCCACAGTGGATCCATATTTCCAGACGCCAGCATTTGCTGGGCTTTATATTCCAATGACCCTCTAGGTCCCTTCTAGCACTCAGTTCCCTCCCCCAATACTCTCTCCTACCATTGGCCATCCAGTCCTCCCTGTCTCATCCCTGTCTTAGTCTGGTAAATGTCCCCTCCTCCCTCTCTTCCCACCTCCTACTTGGGCTCCTGCTCTTTCCAGCCAGACCTCCACGGTCTCATCTTCCCGCTCCTCCCAGCTAGGCTCCCTGGCCTTTGTACCTGGACCTCTCCCACCCTGCCCCGGGGACTAGCTCTGGACACTGAGTCTTTGCTCTCTGGCTTTATTCCAGACCACAGCTCCCTGAAGCCAGCCCCCGGCTCCGCCCTCCGTGGGCCTGAAATCCCCAGGGCAGTCAGGAAGTCCTTTCTGAGTTCTAGTCTTTCCAGAAGAAGATTTTCTTCTTTCTTCTCAGAAAGCTCAGCCACATTCTCATTTGAGATCCTCACGAGCTTGCTTTCTGCTGTCGGGGGCAAGCTTCAGTTCATTCTGGGAAGTCGGGTAGCACAGTGTAACCAAGCATGAGGACTTGCTTTGGGTTTGAATGGGAGTTCTGCTACTTACTGCCTGTGTGACCTTATGCAAGTCACTTCACTTCTCTGTGCCACTATTTCCTCAATCGCAATGCAGTGTTTGTACAAATTAAATGAGTTAATACAGGAAATACTTCGATGTCTCCTGGTCAGCCTCACAGCAAGTGGTAGCTAATATTACAGGGAGCCTGACGTAGCTATCATCATCATCAGTGTTATTTTATTATAGTAGGTTCACTGATGTACCTGGCCTCCAGTAACGGGATGTTTCCAAGCCCCTCTACATGACCCTACCCACATTTGTGAGTCCAGCCTGGAGATATTTTCCCGGACTACCTGGTTGCCAGGTGAGACCGATAGCAGGGACTCTTCATTACAAACAATAAGAATTAGTTTCCTTGGGGGGGCGCCTGGGTGGCTCAGTTGGTTAAGCGACTGCCTTCAGCCCAGGTCATGGTCCTGGAGTCCTGGGATCGAGTCCCGCATCGGGCTCCCTGCTTGGCGGGGAGTCTGCTTCTCCCTCTGACCCTCCCCTCTCTCATGCTCTCTCTCTCATTCTCACTCTCTCTCTCTCAAATAAATAAATAAAAATCTTAAAAAAAAAGAATTAGTCTCCTTGGGACGCCTGGGTGGCTCATTCGGTTGAGCATCTGACTCTTGATTTCTGCTCAGGTCACCATCTCAGGGTCCTGAGACTGAGCCCCGAGTGGGGCTCCACGCTCAGCCAGTCTGCTTCTCTCCCTCTTCCTCTGCCCCCACTCCCGACCAACTCTCAAAATAAATCAAGTCTTAAAAAAGAAAAGAGGGCGCCTGGGTGACTCAGTTGGTTAAGTGTGTGACTTCAGCTCAGGTCATGATCCCGGGGTCCTGGGATCGAGTCCCACATCAGGCTCTCTGCTCAGCAGGGAGTCTGCTTCTCCCCCTCCGGCTGCCCCTCCCCCTGCTTGTGCTCTCTCTCTCGCTCTCTTTCTCTCTCAAATAAATAAATAAAGTCTTTAAAAAAAAGATTTCATTTCCTTAAAGGGGTGGGGGCCCAAGGCAGGGTATACCCTACTTGACTCTGGGTTACTGATCAAATGGGGGAGGGGCAATGATCCCCACCCCTGTCCAAGTCTCAGTTAGTGGACACCAACACCAGCTAGAGCCTGAGAGGTTAGATGACAGGTCAGACTTTCTAGCTTCCTGCTGAATGGGCCACACTCCTTGGTGGCGGGGAGAGCAGGACCAGGTCCTGTCTGGTTGACGGAAGGAGGTGGAGTCAGCCTCTAAGGCCAGGGGAGGATCAAGATGAGCTCTTGAGTCTGGAATTTGGCAAGCAGAGTTGTCCAAAACACAATTTTCCATTCCCAGGCAAGGGGAGGCTGAGGGAGAAAGGAAGCAAGAAGCACGTGGATGTTTAGGGCCAGAGGCAGCCAGGCAGGTAATGCCCTGGCAGGGGAAGGCCCCCTCCCCGCCCCCAGCCCCGCATCTGGGTCTCATTGCTCTGGCGACACACACGGGTGGAAAATGTTCTGGGGATGTTTTTCCAGAGCAGGAGCAGAAGGAGCAGAAGCCAGCCCTGCTGCTGCCTTCCCCTACAGCCCTTCCACATCAGCACCTGGGCAGACGAATGAATAGGCAGGCATTCCTACACACATACACACACACACACACACACACACTCTCTCTCTCTCTCTCCACCACCAACACATAGCCCTTGAGCCCTGTCTCTGACACACAGACTACAGAAGAGGGTCAGGCTGGAGGACCTTGTGACCAGCAAACTCTGATACAGGCAGCAGAATCACAATTTGTGGATAATTTGAAAAATGGTAGACATTGAAACAAGAAAAAAAATGGAATCTGTAGAAATAAGTCCATTCAAAATCCAAACCAACAAGGGCTAATATGGCACACGGTAAGCCTGGTGATTGATTCAACATTGATGGAGGAAGCAGATTTTCCTGAGAGCTCCCAAGCTCCAAAACTGAGCCAGCAGAATGGGCAGTGCTCAAAATCACTGGTCAGAAGAGAATTTCCACAATGGCAGAAGGTATAATTGATCAAATTTGGCACAGGCCAAAAAAATTGAGGAATGAAATGTTCCTTGAAAAACTGACATGGAAAATCATTCATCCCAATGGGAAAAAAATTCTATCAAATAAAAATGAAAATAGGAAAAAAAAAAAAAAGCAAAGCAGAGCCTTTCCATTGCTTTGTGATCAAAGGTGACCCAGGAATCAAATCGACCTGGGCAGAGCAAGGAATTACAGTTTTGTTCACTCTGGAAAATACTTTCCCCATAACAATTCAGAAATGTGGGTATTATTCTGATGCTAAAAATATTTGTATTCCTCAACCCAATGGGTTGAGATAGTGGGGTCAAAATGGTGGGTTTAAAATTGAGGTCTCAGGGGGCACCTGGGTGGCTCAGTCGGTTTAGTGTCTGACCCTTGATTTCAGCTCAGGTCATGAACTTGGGGTCCTGAGATGGAGCCCCATGTCAGACTCCACACTCAGTGCAGAGTTAGCTTGTCCTTCTCTCTCCCCTCCCCCCCCCACCGCTTGCTCTCATTCTCTCTCTCTCTCTCTCTCAAATAAATAAATAAATAAATAAAATCTTTTTAAAAAACTGGGGTCTTAGAACACCCTGAAATCAGCTGGTTCAAGTACATAGGTTTCTAAACACACGTGCACGCGCATGAACACACCACGTGGGTCCACCCATCCACCCACACAGCCTCAGCCTTTCTTCCCGGGGTACCTGGCTTGTCAAATGCCCACACTATCTGGCAACTCCCGTCTGCATCTCCCGGGAGGGAACAATGGGACCACTGTGACCCTCACAGGATTCTGGTGGCCTCACAATGTCCCCCTGAGGTCATCACAGAGGTAACCTTGCCACCCCCCGCCCCTGAGGCACAAGTCGGCTGAGGCCAGCCGTGGGTGATCATCCTTGGTCCTACCTCTGGCCCCCAGGGGGAGGCTGGGGCTGGAGCTCTCTGAGGAAGCCTCTGAGGGAACCAGGACCAGAGACTCGCCTCACCCACCGAAGAGCAACCCAGTGGAGACTTCCAGCCGCCACCCTGGAGGTCCCTGCACCTAGTTCCCTTCAACCGCCCCAGGGAGAGATGCAGAAAGACACTCTGGCGCCTCCCCCACCTGCACCCTTGGCCTCGAACACTGCCCAGGGTGAAGGCAGGCAGGCCAGCACCTCTGGGGCCCCTAGCAAGAATGAGACGGGGCGCCACGCCAGCCCCAAAACCCGCCGGAAGCCCAGCATATCCAAGGTGATCCTGGGGGTTGTGACGGACAAGGGCATGCGCAACTGCGTGAGTCTAGCCACCCTGAAGAAGGCGGTCACCGCCATGGGCTACGACATGACCTGGAACGCCTGGCGCTTCAAGCGAGTGCTCAAGGGGCTGGTGGACAAGGGCGTTCTCAAGCAGGTGACCGGCAAGGGGGCCTTGGGCTCCTTCCGCATGGGCAAGAAGTTTGCCTCCAAGTTCAAGCTCAGGGACCAGAGACAGCGCCAGTCGGGGCAGCATCGGCCTGGGCAGCGCCGGCCTGGGAAGCGCCGGCCTGGGCAGCGCCGGCCTGGGCAGCGCCGGCCTGGGAAGCGCCGACCTGGGAAGCACCGGCCTGGGAAGCGCCGACCGCTAGTGGGCTCCCGAAGGGGGCACAAGCAGCTACGCAAGGAGGTTCGCAGGGTGGCCAAATGCCGCCGCAATTAACAAGGCAGGCCAGGCAAGCAGGCAAGGGTGCCAGGCCCGCCACAGGCTCAGTGCAGTGGGAATAAAAGGAGCCTAACTTATTTCACACCTGCCTCCTGGAATCTTTGGAGCTCAGGGGAATGGGAGTGGAAGAAAGCTGGGGACAGAGGAGTAAGGCCGTTGGGGGCGGGAAGCTGAGTTCCCAAAGTAGGAGTGAGATGGATTTGGGGAAAGGGCTGAGGGAATTGAAAGCATCCACAGACATTAGCTAGTTCAACGACCCCGTCATCTGAAACCAGGGCCAGAGAGCGTCATGCTGATTGTGTAGCAGAAGCCAGGCTGGAGCCATACCTAATGTCAAACTCAGGGAGGTGTATGTGTGTGCGCGTGTGCGCACACGTGTGTGCGCGTGTGTGTGCATGTGTGTGCACGCAGCCTCTTAAGTGGCTTCTCGAACCCTTTCCCCCAAGGTGGCCACAGGCCCCCACACCTGGCCGGGTCCCCTCCTGTGCCCCATCCCAGGTTAGAGTCCTCCACGGAGACGCAGAAAATGAGAAGGCCGGGCCGGGAGAGGTCAGACCCAGCAACCAGCCAGCCCAGACCTGGAGCTCAGAGGCCAGGCGTGGCCCCCATCAGCTCAGAGTAATCTGGCTTGTCTGTGCTGCTCATGGAGGTTAGGGAGGGGGGTCTAGCTTGGCAGTCTAGGGGTGCTCCCACCCAGCCCCCCAGCTTTCCCCTACTCACTCTGAGGTGGCCAGGTCTCTTTTCAGCCTGTGGAAAATCGAGAGAGGGGGTTAGCTATTATCCACACCCCTCCCCCCTGGTGCCAGGCGAGGCAAGAAGTCCCCACCCCCTTCCTGGCTGAGGACCCCGCTCCCTGAGGAGTCTGTGTCCCCCCCCAGGCAGCACAGCGCCCCAAGGAGCCCCGTGGGGGTGAGCAAGAGTGCCCTCCCTGCCCTCTGTCCCCCACACTCACCGTCCCTCCCGCCGGCAGCACATGACGTAGGCCAGCCCCAGAGTGAGCAGGAGAGCCACCAGCAGGGGCACCAGGAGGGTGACCAGTGCGTCGGTGAGGAAGTCTCGGGCTGTTGCCTCAGTAGGTGGGCAGAAGAACGGGTCATGCTCCAGGATCCCATCACCTGGGGTGGGCACCTCATCTGCGGGCTCTGGCACTGACTTATCCACCTGCTCAGAGAGCCCAGGGCTCACTGAGGAGCCGTTGGCTGGACAGAGACTCCCTGGGGGGACGGGGCAGGGGTGCCCAATACAACCACAGGGTTTTCTCCTGCCTGTCTCCCCCAGCTTGAGTGACGTCTCAGGACAAGCACTGGACTAGGAACCCAGAGAGAAAGACGAGGAGAGGCAGGTCCATACAATGGTTAAAGGCACACCTCTAGGGCCCGACTGCCTGGGTTTGAATCCCGATCCAGACAAGTGCTGTGCTGGATGACTTCCCTCCAGGTGCCTCCTTTCCCTCACCTGGAAAGTCAGAACGCTAATAGTGGTCCCTGTTTCTGGGGTGGTGGTGAGGGTAAAGCATGTTGATTGGCTAGAGCCTAGCACACGCATGGCAAGTGCTCGAGGATGTTGTTGATGATCAGTCCCTGGCTGCACTGTTGGTCAATTCACAACTCCAGGGGTTCCCAACCTGGGGAGTCAGGGTCTCTAGGGACCCCAGATAATTGTGCTCAACATCCCAAAGAGGAGTAGTGAGCATCTTTGGTTTATAACTTGGAGTTGAGAGGTATCTGTTCCTTATTGCAGGCAGATTTGCTAGGTGACACCTTAGAAGGAAGCAGAGCTGTCCCAAAGAGTCCCCTGGTGGGGAAAGGGTTTTTAGAACTGCCCTATTGGAGTGATTGTTCTAGCTGTTGGGTTGGGCACATCAAGGACTTCTGGACCCCAGGATCCCTTTTCTGGACTATGGACTCTGTCGCCCTCTTGTGGGGTGAGATGGCACTTCAGAGCGAGCGCGCACGCGCGCGCTCGCCACCCTGGCCATAATCAAAGAAACAGGATGGGGTGGGAATAGGGCTAGGGAGGAGACTGTGATGGGTGGGGGTCATGCCCCATCCCCACCCCCGGATCCAGGGTCCCTCCTCACCAGGGACACATTGCACCAGTCAACGCGGAAATGAGGTGCCAAGGTGTCATAGCAGGACAGAAGTGGAGGCTGACCCTGGGCACAGCGAGCATGGCTGTCGGGAGATGCCACCATCTTCAGGCAGGTGGAGAAGGGTGAGGCAGAGCCCACCTTGATGTAAACCCTGGGCCCAGATAGAAGCCACCGTTAACATATTGGGGGGGCACTGGGCACTGGAGATTTGGGGTTGCAGGACCACCTTGAGACCTGGGTTATGGTGAGAGCACACACAGCACCCCAGTCTTCCTGGTGGCCTTATACTCCCAGGAATGTCTTTTGATAGCTGGATCTTTTATGACCTCATGGGGCATCAGGGAGTATAGAGTTCAGGGTAACTAGGGTTTGGGCCCAGGAAGGGCAAGAAGATGAAGGGGTGGCTGGAGGGAAGTGGACGGCGATGTGAGAGATACACATGGTATGAAGGTGCACAAAGGTGCTCCATGCCCGCCCACCCCCCAAGAAGGCCAGCTGCCGCCACCTCCTCCAGGAAGCCCTCCGGGGTTGCACACTTACCCTTCCTTGCGACCCTCAATGGGAAGGGGGACGCGGCCCCCACGGTCCAAGGCGGAGGTAATGTTGAGTAGCTGGAGCTCTCCCGGCTCCCAGAGCCCCCCCAAGGCTGTGAGGAAGCGACTGGCAGGCGTTGAGGGCAGCACCTCCTCCACATCATGGCTGCACACCAGGAATTCAGCTTGGTATGGCAGCAGGGGGCCTGGAATGCCAGGCTGGCACTTGAGGCTCCACACCGAGTCCTGCACGGATCCTTCCCAAGCCTCCCCCGCCTCAAGCTCCTCCCCATGCCCCCTCGGACTCCTTCCTTCCTCCGTAACTTCCCATCCCTCACAGGCCCCAAATGCCCTTCCCACAGCCTCAACAACTTCCCAAGGCCCCAGAGACTATCGGCAGAATGGCCAAGAATACAACTCTAGAGCCCTTCCAGGATGCCCTGCTCCCACTACTCCCAAGTGTCCCCCTCACACCCCCTCCCTCCTTCCAAGAGAAACCCCCAAGACTGGAGTTGGGGGAGGGTGGAGGTGGGGCAGGGGTTGGGCAGGGCTGACGGTACCTTCTGGGTCCCCAATCAACAGCACCAGCCTCCGCCAGGTGGTGTCAAAGCTGTCCCGATTGTAGGCTGTGACCTGGGGTGGGGGAGATGCAGAAGAGAGCTGAGGGACAGGGCGAGGGGAGAAACACGGAGGGGACTGAGACACCCTCCAATCAGAAGCATCTAAATTATGTAAATGAACATGCACGAATGCCCACATGGGACACAGCCATGGGGTCCCTGCTGGTACCTCGATGACCTGGCGCCCACGATCTTCGGGGGTGGGGGTGCCATAGAGGAAGCCAGGCTGGTGGGGGCTGCGCTGGGTGTAGCGGAGCCACTGAGGCAGGTCTGGGTGTCCCTGGAGGTGGGCGTGGTAGGTGACAGGGGTGGTGGGGGGCACATCTGGTGGAAGGGAGGACAGGGGATTGGAGAAATGACAGGAGGCTCCACCGGGCCCCTGGCCAGGCACCGCCAGCCCGCCGATGGCCTTTAGGCCCCTCTCACCGACATGCTCGGGGTGACGCAGGACTGCTTCCCGGTCCAGGGTGTGCACAAAGACGCGGCCCACAAGAGGCTGTAGGGTGGTCTGCTGGGCCTCAGCGTCCCCCAGCCCTGCCAAGAGACCTGTGGGGACCCCACAACCCCCAAAACACATGCATCAGCCTTAGTCCTGGGCAGGGGAGAAGCTCCTGGTGCCCGTAAGAGAGAGGAGAAGTTGTGGGGGGCTCCCAGGAAAGGACAGGTGGAGGGGTCCTCGCTGTGCCACGCGAACTTAGATCAGTGACAAGTCCCAGACCTTTGCTGGGTTTGGATTCATGGGAATCCCCTCCCCCAGTCCTCATTTTTGGCTCCCTTTGAGGGGTCACCCGGGGCAGGGACCGCTGTCTGGCTGAGAAGGGTGTGGGGTGTGTGGGGGTGGATGCGTGTTATGGGCACTTGTAAAACAGAGCCCTTAGGAATGCGGTGTTAGGGGCGCCTGGGAGGCTCAGTCGGTTAAGCATCTGACTCTTGATTTCAGTTCAGGTCATGGTCTCAGGGTCTTGAGATCGAGCCCCGGTCGGGTTCTGCCACTCTGGGCATGGAGCTTGCTTAGGATTCTCTCTCTTTCTCTCCCTCTGCACCTCCCCACCCCCAAGGGCACACTCGGTCGCTCCCCCTGCTTTCTAAATAAATAAATAAATAAATAAATAAATAAATAAATAAATAAAAACAAATTTTAAAAAAGAATGCTGAGTGTCTGGGAAGCTTGGAGGGGAGGGGGAGAGTGAGGGAGGAGGTGAGTAGCCATTCTGGGACTCCCTCCCAACTCCCTTAATACACAGGGGGAAAGGGGCCCACAGTAGAAGCCAATAAAAGCTGAGCAAATGGGATCCTGAGCCCCAGGGAAGGGACCTGCCCCAGCGGGCCCCCACACCCTCCCAAGGCCAAATTTAGCCTGGGCCTAGAAAGAAGGCAGACCAGCCAGCCCATTAAAGGGCCAACGACACTCCGGGCCTGTGCTGTCAGGCCCACCTCAGCCTAGGACACCCCACCCTTCAGAGCTCCCCGTCCCCCACATCCCAGAGCCCCACTCCCAGCCCCATTTCCCTGGACCTCCCCCTGGTTACAGCATGAACACCCCAAAGTCCTTCTGGGCCCTGGGCCCAGACCCCTCCCCTGAGGGCCCTCTGTCTGTCCACCTCTGCACCCGTAAATCCCATCCCTTCGTCCTGGGCCTCTCCCAGAAGAAGGCCCCAACTTGCCCACAAGAAGAATCCAGATTAGAGCTGCGGCCATGGCTGCCCCAGCCTGCCCGGCCCCTGTGAGTGACAGAGACAGGAGCAGGGGGGAGGAGAGAGGGAGGGAGGGATGACGGGGGAGGTGTCCCAGAGCAGCTGACCCCAGCTTCTGCCAGTGGGTCCCTCCCCATCCCCACCCAGAGCAGGCGCTGAATCCGGTGTGAACACTCTCCTCACATGACCGGGTCCCTCCAGTGATCCCCTCCCAGTGCCAGAGAATGTTCTCTAAACCACCAACCTGACTACCTCAGTCCCCCCTGAAAACACTAAGGGTTCCCCTTGCCCTGAGTCCCCAGCTGTTGATGGTTTTCTGGACCTGGCCGTCGTGTCCAGAATCCTCTCCTCTCACCCCTGCCAACCACACACACACACACACACACACACACACACACACACACACTACCCCAGGCTTCTCTGCCCAGCCTCACTCTGCTGCCCACCCCCCACCCAACTGACATGCTCACTAAGTCCTTTGCACAAGCTGTTCCCTCTGCTTGGGGTTCCCTTCCCGCTCTCATCCCACCAGCCACTTGGCACTCACCTGGCAAGACTCAACACAGGCCTCCTCTCCTCCCCGTGGGCTTTCTGTGCTGCCTTCCTCTGCTAGGCCGAGCTGGGTGCCCGCTTGGCCCCTGTGCACAGCACCGCAGGGCGGGGCGTCTAGAATCTTACTATCTTCCTGTCCCCCGGGCCTGGCACAGAGCCCAGCAACCTGCAGGTGTAGGGGGGCCTGGGCGACAGCCTCCTTAATGGCACACAGAACAGCCGGGTGCCCATTCACCCAGCCCTGATCCCCAGAGCAGGCACCCCCAGTGTGTACCCCAGGTCTGGGAAGAGAGCGGGCCCCGGACAGGACTAACCAGGGAGAGCCAGGGGAGCGGAGGGGCTGCAAGCCGGCCCGACACGAATCCCACCTTGACCCCTCGCTGGACACGCGGCCTTGAAAAACTCAACGGCCCTGCCTCGGCTCTGTTCCCACAACTACTACCTGGCAGGATAGTGCTCACCTCTCGATGTGCTTGTGACGAACCACAGCCTCAGGAACTCAGCGCGAACTTACAGGCCACCCCCTGTGTGCCGGTCCCAGAGGAAGCGGAGAGGGACAGACACCTGCCCCACAGAGCTTGCACGTGGGCGGGTACTGCCAGCAAACCCCCGCCTGCCACCGTGTGCCGGGCTTTACATTCACGGACGTAGGGTGACTCCTTCCATCCCTGCAGTTCCCAGGAGTGCTTTCATCCCCATTTTCAGATGAGAAGAGTGAGGCACCAGTGCTTTGTGATCCCCCCCCCCCAGGGCCATACTACCTACCAACCAGCTGAGGCCTGTGCCTTGCTGCCGGGGCACCCGCCCCCTCCTTCTTGCCTCAGTCAAGGATCTGGGTCCAGGTGTGAAGGGGGTGGGATGCCCTTCTCTTTGGGGGCTTCTCACTCAGAGCAGGCAGAGGGGACTCTCCTTAGATGTGGTGAGGAGGAGGCGGGGACCCGCAGGTGCCAGGGTTCCAAAATTCCTGGTGTGTGCGTGAGCATCCCTCCTGGGTATCGCCACCTCCCCGCCGTACCCAGCACCCCAAACATAGACGCCTGGGACCCGCTCTGGTCGGGCCTGAGGGGCACAATGTTGGCCTGCCAACTGGAATGACCAGTGGCAGTTTACTTAGTCCCCACTTTTTTTTCTCTCTCCCTGCCTGACCGTCCTACCCATCCCTGGAGAGCCACCAAATTCCAGAGTCAGCATCCACTCAGGCTCTCAGACAGGGCAGGGTTTGTCCCAGAATCACCTTGGTGCCTCTCCGCCTTCTCAGAGATGGAGATGGAGGGCATGAGGGAGGAAAGTTCTGGAGGCAGAGGGAGAGTCAGAGGGCGCTGAGGGAGCAGGCAGAGCTGCCCGATTCTGGCCCGCTGCCCAGGTCTCAGCCCCTCAGAGGCTCCATGTGACTCCCTTGCTCTTCTTTGGAGCCCCCCACTCACACCCTCAGCTGTCTTAAGGTAGCAGTGCCCAAACCCAGTGCCACCAGGCCCCCAGAGGCGAGTCTCCTAATGGATCCTTCTCCCTCTCCCCTCAACCAGGGACTGTTGCCAGAAGCCAGCCGGAAGTCCCCTGGAAGTCCCCTGTGGCCGACCAGAGGATCTCTCCACCTCAGAGCTGTCTGGATTGCAAGCTGCTGCTAGAATGCTCAGCATCTCTGTTCGTTGGGGCCTGGGCATAGAGAGTGCGGTCACAGGTCCTTAAACTTCTTAGTTTGCAAATTTAATTTTATTTTAAGTGGGCTCCACAGCCCAATGAGGGGCTTGAACTCGACCCTGAGATCAAGACCTGAGCTGAGATCGAGAGTCAGACGCTTAACTGACTGAGCCACCCAGGTGCCCCTTAGTTTGCAAATTTTAAACAAAACCAAAGTCTACAGAATAAAAGAATGAAATCTCCATATATCCATCCCCCAGCTTCAACAGTCAGCAACTTCTGGCCAATCTCCTGTCACCTGTACGCCCCCACCAACTTTCCCTCCTGTTTCATTTCCTCTGTCAATATTTTAGCATGTATCTTTGAAAGACGATGACTCTTCTATTTTTATTATTTTTAATAGAATGACTCTTTTTTAAACCATGACAATTGTTACACTTAGTCCATTAGTATACCTTAAAGTTAATAATAATTCCTTAATATCAGACCTAGAGTGTTCAGATTTCCAATTTCTCATAAACGTCTTTTTTTTTTAAGTGTATTTGTTTGAATCAGGATCCAAATAAGGCACACACACTGCAACTGATTGATGCGTCTCCTTTAAATCCATAGGTTCCGCGTCCAAACTTCTCTCTCCCTCTCTGTCTTTTTCGTTGAGAGAACCAGGCCATTTGCCGTGCAGTTTTCCAGTCTGGGTTTTGCTGATTGCATCTCTAGGGTGTTCTTTAACACATCTCTCTGACCTCTGTACTTCCTGTAAATTGTATTTCCTGTACCTTGTTATTTCCTGTAAATTGTAGTTGGATTGAAAGTCCTGATCAGTTGTAGGTTCTATTTTCTTTGGCAAGACCACTTCACAGATGGTGGTATTGCTTCTTCCATCCAGAAGCACAGCAACCGCGATGCTCCGTACCTCATCCATCAGTGCCCCCCACACACACAAATGGTGATACTTAAATCCAATCATTCCTTCCTTTATTAGCAAGAGTAATTCTCGACACAGAAACTGCCCCTCACTTACTGTTTTGTTACTGAGTGTTGTAGCTCATATAGGAAAGATAGGATAAATACTTGCTTCTCTTCCTGTATTTGCCAATTTCTAAATAATGAGTTGATTCTCTAACATCCCTCAAACTTCAGCCTGTTAGCTTTTCAAAAAACAGTAGAATAATTATGAATTTATGGCTTTAAGCATATTTGATTGCTTTGGTCCATTGTGACTAGTGTCCCTCCTGGTCCTCAAGCTGTCCCTTCTTGAGCTCCCGAGGCAGCTCTCACCAGTCAGAGCATCCGTCTCGGGGGACGGGTGGGTCAGGTCTCTGCCTCGCCACACCTGTCTCCCCAGCTTTCTGCCGGATTTCCGCCTGTCAGTGTCCCGATTTAATTCCTCTGGTCCTTTGTCCCTGGCTCTCCCCACTCAGTGAATATCTGCTGAATGAATGAATGGTTGATCGAATGAATGCATCATCTCCCCAACTCTCTCCTTCCACTTCTGTCTCTATGAACCTCCTGATTTCTGAGGGCCATATTTTCTTCGTCTGCATCTACAACGGGGGATTATATGTTGTCATGAGGGACAAAGGAAAGGGATTCTCATCACTGTGATCTGATTGTCGCATCTGCCTCCCAGACTCCACCCCCATCCTCCCCCCCTTCGCTGCCCCCAGCGCCACAACAAAGGATGCGATCTGTCAGTCAGCCACGAGAGGGCGCGTTCGCGGCTGCAGCCTGGACCTGCGCCTGCGCAATATTGGGGCGGGGCGGGGGGGGGACGAGGCGTCGGGCGGGGGGGTTGGGTGGAGGGGCGGGAGCGCTCCGCCCCGGGTTGGGCTTGCGCGTCAGAAGTGTTTGCTGAGCACTGTAGCTAGAGGGGGCGACGCAGGAGGAGGCCCACGGCCCCTAATCTTACTTCGTCCTACCCTTCCGGGTCCAGAGGATGTCCTACCAAGCGGGGAGGAGAACCCTCCTGGAGGCGGGGGGCTGGACACAATGCCGTCTTTCCCACCATCCCCGTCATTTGTATCAACCCTCCGACTTCCAAGGACATGTCCCTATTTCCCCACCCCCCACGACGTTTGGGGGCACGAATCTGAGGACCTAAGTGTACCCAGATTCCTCCTCCCTTTTTTTTATCTTTGGCCTTCAGCGCTCAAAGAGGTTCCTTGAGCCTTGTGACCGCCCAGAGCAATCAATCATGAGTCTGAGAATACCAGAGACCATCCCTGGCCAAACTTTCTAGCTTACAGGAGAAACAGAGAAGGGGAGGGACTGTCAGAGGGCTCACAGCACAGTAATTTGCCCAGCTAGATCTCTGGACATGGAGAAGAGACACTCCGTCTATGTAAAGGGGGGGTAATAAGGATCCATGAGATAATGAAAACAAAAGTGCTTTGTAAACTGTAAAGCTCTGGAGAGAGTAAGGGGTCTTTTATTTATTTAGAACTGAAGGTGCAAGACTATAGCTGCCCAGAGCCAAGCCACTGCCACAGCCTGAGAGCTGGGAGAAGTCCGATTTAGAAGCCACAGCTCAGTGATAGGAGGATTAGGAAAATAAAAGAAACAAAATCTCTGACAATTTTTTGCAGATGGTATGATTATTTACATAGAAAATCCAAGACATTCTACAGGCATGTTATTAGGGTTGTTAAGGGAGATCGGCAAGGTTGCTGGACAAAATTTAGTATCCAAATACAAATAAAATACAAAATCCAGCAGTGTTTCTATACACTAAGTTATTAGAAACTGTAATATCTTTTTAAAAATACATCATTAACAATAACATTAAAATTGTACAGAACCCCGAAAAAACTCACAGATACTTATGAAGCAAAATGATAG